ACACTAAAGGATGTCATAGAGGAAATGGAGGAACAGATGTCTGAGATGAAGAGGGAGCTGGAGGACAAGTCAAAGGTGAAAAATCTGTCACTCAAAAGTTCTGGAATAAAACATCTGTCAGAAATGTTTCTGTTTCATTCAAGGGTTGTGGCTAAAATGCTCTTGTCTTTTGTTTCAGGAACTAGAAAGACAAAAGCATACATGTACAGTCCTGCAGCACAAACAAGAAGAACTGAAAGAGGGAATCCGCCAGAGAGATGAGCTTATAGAGGTAAGGCTGCCCTTGGATTAGAAAAACCAACTGTTTGTGCCAGCGTGACCACATCAGCCTGCTATTCTGTCAACACTTTGAAAGGTGTTAGAGCCTCTGTGCAGGCTGCAGCAGAGTCTGTTCTGCAGGAACCTGATAAGGATTGATTGGCACTGGTCGGCCTCTCGGTCCTCTCGCAGTCTATTGCTCTGTCCCTTCTGACATTTAGCTCTGTTTCAATGTCCTATCTGACTTTGAACACTATCAGTCATTCCTGTCCTTGTTTCACCTGTTTCTATCCCTCATTTTTGTATCTGTATGTATTTTCTGTGCATTTTCACATCTTTTGTCTTTATTCCATTCATTTTATCCTATTCTGTTCTTACTCCTGTACTGTGTCATCTTGGTACTGCTCTTCACCGCTCCAGGAGAGCCAGCGAATGCAGACTAAGTTAGATGACCTCACCAGAGAGGTGTTTGACCTGCAGGAAACGATAAACTGGAAGGACAAAAAGATTGGGGTAGGAGGTCCCACGCGGGTGCTCTGACAGAACGCGAGAGGCAACAGACGGACAGACATTAGCGTCCGTCCACCTCTTTTGCCTCTCATGCTGTCTCTGCATGATGGAGACCCTTAGGCATTAGCACAAACCTGGACCCATTCACATTCACAGCCTGGATTTTTTTTGCATGTCAAAATAACAGGGTTTTTTTTTATTTGGATCCCGTAACCTCAGCTAACAATGCAAGTGCACTGGCACTCTGTTAAAGCCTGCAGTGGACCGCGTGTGGAGAAAAAAATAAAACATTTCACTTTTGGATTGTCATGTAAGCTTAAAGACAAGTCCTTATATTGTAGCATGACATGCATGGTTCCACCTGTGGATCAGTTCATTTAAGGTGTGAAGTCTAAGTGACCGTATCTGTATGTAGCTTCTGCAAAGTGAAAAAGCTCTACCTCCTTACAGACTCTATCATTAGTCCCCGTGCTCTACCACAACTGTAACATCTCCTGTGAGCATGTAGCCTTGTCCCCGTCTGTTTGTTTCTCTGTCCTCGTGCACAGTGCATGTCTCTGTATGGAAGATGTCTTGCTGTAGCATGTGGTGTTGCATGTGTGTCCAGAGTCTATCCAACTTCTCCTCTGCCTCTTCTCCTCTCTCTTGTCTCTTTTGTCGTCCGTGTGGCCAGGCCCTAGAGAGGCAGAAAGAATACTTTGATTGCATTAGGAATGAGAGAGATGAGCTCAGAGATGAGCTCGCTGACATCAAGGGGAAGGCCAAAGCTGGAGAGGTAGGTCCCAGCAGACAAAAACAAACTTGGTGGAATGAGTTACTGGCCCAAAACTACTTTTTATACTTTTCCTTTTGGTTGGAACTGAGCCAGTTAATGCTGCCAAACCTGCTGTTGTGTT